CGCGGCCCCCGCTGGATCCCAGCTCTCCCCCAGCGCGCCGCGCCCCGGGGACCCACTCGGGACCTGGGCGCCCTGGCGGCCCTCCCTTCGCCTCGGCCAGACACCCTGTCCATCTGGACCGGTGCTCGAGGTCTTCACTCTGGATTAAGGCACTTCACTCGCGGGTTCAAACCTCGGACCCAGACCCCTGACTGCCCTGCCCCCTGTTCCTGTCCCCCCCACCCCCCTCTGGACGACAGTATGGGTCCTGCCCCATCCCCTCTCGGCTAGCCAATTGCGACCTCGCCCGCTGGCGCGAGGGGCCAGGACTCAGACTGGACCACCTGCAGCTCCCAAGCCCTCTGCCACTCCCCACCCCCACCCCGCGTTCTTCTTCTCTCGGTTCCTCCGGAGTCCAGCCACGTCCACGTCCTACCCGCTTCAGTCGCTCGCCCCCAGCCCCCTGGACGCCCTCGAAGATCCCTTACCCCGGCCCCGCTGCGCGGTGACCTGGCGCGTTGGCCAGAAGATTCCTTGCCAGTCGCTTCATTCACTCAAAGCCAGCGAGCCCATGAGAGAGGAGTTCCAGTCTTAACGCCTGGACCCTGTCTCTCTGCGGGACCTACCCAGTCCTAGATCCCTGGCCTGGCCCTTTCATCCCTCAGCGTCCCTGCTGCCCTTTTGTCCGCAGACCCAGACTGGGCCTCTTACAAGCTGGGCATCTTCATTTGTCTGAACTGCTGCGGCATCCACCGAAACTTCCCAGATATCAGCAAGGTGAAGTCGGTGAAACTGGACTTCTGGGACGACAGCATTGTGGAGGTAAAGAGGGGTCGCCTAGGGAGAGGAGGAGCAGCAGAGCAGCCTGGAAGGAAGCCAGTAGACACCCACCCCCACCCACCCCCGCCCGCCGTACTTGACCCCTCCATTTCCACATCTATGTTATGGGGACCCCTTCCTCCCCACAATGCCCAGGACTCCTGTAAGGACGAAATGTATGCACAACATTGGGGTATTGAGGAAGTTGGTAAATGGGGAGCAGAAGTCTCCTGACTCATGGTCTATGGTTTTCCTCCTGTCCCCACCAGCCAGAAAGGAGGCCACTTTGCTCTTGTGATCTGGGGGTGGGGGTGGGGTGGGGGTGGGGCGCCGGTATTTTCAGCTGGAGTGATAATACCATTTTGACCAGGGACCTCTTCAGCGAGCAGGCAGCCTTTAACTCTCCTGGTTTGCTGGGGAGGCATGTACTGAGTGCCATTGCCAAGTATTATGCGCAGCACCAACGGGCTAGAGCTTTTCCTTATTCGCTCATTCAACGTGCAAGTGAAGTGGCTTGCAGCCTACTGTGTGCTACAGACCAGACCAGGTCTGTTCCCATATGGAGCTGACATGGGAGGGCAGGAGGGAGACCGGAAACCAGGAACCCAGCACGTAAACCTGAAGATTATTTGTGCCTCAGAACTCCTTTGCCAGGTAGATAGTATTGTCATCGATTTTACAAGTGAAGTCCCTGAAGCTCAGAGAGTTAAGTATTTGCCCAGAGTGGGCTTCGAACCCTGCTCTCTTAGGGTCCCCCCAACCCCTGCAAATCCCTTGATATCGTCCATGGGCCCCCTGGGAAGGGGCGGGAATTGGATTCCCTCTGCCCAAGGCATGTGGTTCAAAGCCTTATTCTTCCCATCCTGCCTGCACTCCAGGACAGGCCACCGCTGTGGCTGAGGACCGTCTCTCCACGCTGGAGAGCTTGGCTTAGCATCCTGGCTGAAGTCCTCTGTGGGGCCAGCGCCCACTGCCTCAGACTCCAGTCACCTGTGAAAGGGCTAGGCGAAACAACGTGAGCTTTGCAGACAAAGAGGTCTGGGTTCAAATCCCAACTCTGTCGCTTGCTGGCTTGGGCAAGTCACCTAACCTCTCTGAGCCTCAGTTTCCTTATTTCTAAAACGAGGAGAGTCCTGTTGAAAGGATGGAGAGGATCCGATGAGCCAGTGTGTGAGAACTGTGGTGTGCTCTGCTGTGCTGAGCCATGCCTGTTACCGTGGCTCCTTTTCCAGGCTGGGGTTCCCAGGAGCTCAGATGACCAAGCCTGGTGGGAGGCTTCTCTTCTGGGCCTGATGTCTCCTCTCCCAGCTGAGGTGCCAGTGGGGCTCATGGCTCTCTTGGTAGGCTGTGGTTTCAGTTCACGACGGTGAAGCTTGGATATTACCTCAAGTGGCTGTTGTCTTGCAGTTTATGACCCACAACGGGAACCTCCATGTGAAAGCCAAGTACGAAGCGAGAGTCCCTGCTTTCTACTATGTCCCCCAGGCTGATGACTGCTTGTGAGTCGGTGATTATTTAAGGGCTCCTACTCTGTCTTCAGTGCCCCTCTCTATGGTGGGCTCCTCTATCGATCTGGTCAGTGAGTGACCCAGGAAAGCATTGGGCACCATCACAAAATGGTTTTGGGGAAGCCCTGGTTTAGGCTCTGCTCTCACTATTGCTTGGGTGGCTTGCTGAGTTGCAGCTGGGTGGCTTAAACTCGCTGAGCTGCAGTTTCCACAGCTGAGAACCGTTATTCTGTGATCTGCCCCGTCTGCCTCTGCTGGTCTTGTTGCCCATAGATCCTGGCTCGCTGGACAAAGGAGAGAAGCACTGGTATTTTAGTAGAACAAGTGTGTTTCCACTACTTCCTAATTGTGCCTAGGTTATTCTCATGGAAGCTCAGCTTGGTGCCGAAGTTGATCCAGGGGGCCCTGGCTCTCTACAAAATCATCGTAAACATAATGCAAACTGCTAATTTGTCTGGAGCCTTACCTATACCATGGGCCCTTTTTTGAATGCTTGGGGCATTCATTTACTTTTTTCAACAACCTTTTGAGATAAGTACTATTAATATTTTCATGAGTTGGATGAGCAAGCTGAAGGCCAGAGGCAAAGCTGAGGCTACCTTGTCTGACTGTGTCACTCTGTCATTGGGAGACCCAGAATAGCAGAGGGACTAGAAAGCAGCAGGGGTTTAAGACCCCTGGAAGGGAGAGCTCTTATCAGTGGGACACTGGTACCTAGACTGCCCGAGTCTCCTTCCCAGGGACTCCTTCCCATTCACCACCAAGGCCACTGGTCAGCGCATTGTGTAAATGAGGGAAAGGCACCCCGCTGGGCAGATACCACCTCAGGAGGGCAATGGCTTGCAAGCTTTCTACTCAGAAGCCCTCGGTTTTGGTTCCTGGTCTCGCCACTACATAGCTGCCAAATGGTGGGCAAGTTCCCAGATGTCTCTGGTCCTTGGCACCTCATCTCTGAAATGCCGAGGATGATACCTGTACTCCAACGTAGCTGTGAAGAGGAATGAGATAATATATGAAAAGCACCTCACACCAACTGCACACAGTAGACGTTACATCAGTGCTACTTTGCATCCAGCCCTCAGGGTGACCTTCAAATGCTGCCTGGTCCCTGATCCAGCTGAGGGCTGTGCTGGGCTCAGCTTGAGTGGGCCTGGGTCATCTTGCCCACTGCTGACTCCTGTAGACATGCAGTCCTTTTGCTTCAAGAGAAAAGGAACAGGCATGTGTGTTGTGCTAGACTTTCTACTAGCTCTTCCCAGACATGGCGTCCTCCTCCAATTCTAAATCTCCTCGAAGTTCTCCATGTCCAAGACCAGGGTAGGTGGTGCTCTCCCAGCTTGGGTCCTGTGGTCCAGGGTTCTCACCTGTTGGGCAGGTTAAGGACTTACTTTCCTCAATATCAGGCAAAACTTCTGATTGTAAGTGGCAGACCATCAGCTTAACCATCAGCGTTTGCCAACCCACTTAGGCAAAAGGACCTGTATGGGTTCTGGGGGTCAGACGACAGGAAGGACAGCTGTGGAACCAAACTCGGGAAGGACCTAGAGAGGGACTTGATTCTGTTCGGTCTCTGACACCCTCTCTAGTTCTCCTCATTCTCCTTCTCACCTGACCTTCCTTCGTGCAGCTGGGAGCAAGGCTTTTCCAGGTCCCAAGCTTGTACCTCCCAGCTTGGTCCATTTTGAGCCCAGACATCTCAGGGAAGAGTTCTCTTGATTGACCAGTTTGACCCAAGTGCCCATCCCTAGGCCATTGCTGTGACCATGGGACAAGGTCAGACAAACCTTAGAACATTCGAATGTAAAGGGGGAGAAGGGATCAACTAAGCAATTAAAATAGATCTACTCTTGGCTACAGGGGTTTTCTGCAGAGGTCATGGGTGTCAATAGCCAGCTGAGCTAGCATTGAGCATGTACTAGTGATAAGCATAGCCCTTTGTAGGAACTCTGTGGTGGTTACACCTTGGGCTGCCAACCAAAAGGTTAGCAGTTTGAAACCACCAGCCACTCTGTGGGAGAAAGATGAGGCTTTCTACTTTCGTAGAGAGTTAGCCTTAGAAACTCACAGGGGCAATTGTACCCTGTCCTGTAGGATCACTATGAGTCAGTATTGATTCAATCTCAGGAAGCTTGAGGGTTTTGAGGCCATTTCTATACATCTAAAACTCTCAGGAATTTTGATGAATAGGTAGGTATTTGGGGGGCATCTAACCCACCTATGTTATAGGGACCCCCCCATGTGGTAATGATATTGTCATATCCTGAAGCTCAGTTAGGTGACTTGCTCTTGACTACACGAAAGAGAAGAACAGGGCCCCAAGGGGTCTGACCCCATAACCACAGCACTGTCCAGCGCTGTGTGCTCCCATTGTCTGACCAAGCCACGGGGAGAGAAGCTCTGGGATCCTGCCAGCTTAAGGATGCTGTGGGAGGTGGTAATGTCCATGCTCTAGGTACTGGCCTCATTGACCCAAAGGCTGAGGTTGGAGTTTTACAAACAATGGTTCTTAACTGAGACGTTTGCCCTCCGTCCTCATGTGGGGCATTTTTGGTCTGAAAACATTCGAGATCACAGGGCTGGTGGTGGTGCAACGGGCACCCTGGAAGGTGGAGGCCGGGAGGCCTCATATACAGCACGGGGCAGTGGCGCACCAGAAAGAATTGTCTGACCCCAGTGTCAATAGCGCTGAGACTCAGAAACCTTGGGGCACACAAATGAGTAGTCGAGTAGTTACTCTGATTCCTCCATCTTCAGCTGCAAGGGTCTTACAAAGTGACCATGGGGAGAAAAAGCATCAGACACTGTTGACCAAAGTTCTCTTTATTAAGGGTTTTAAAGGAACAATGGATCCGAGCCAAGTATGAGAGACAGGAGTTTATGGCCGATGGGAAAATGATGTCACCCCCAGGTAAAGTTATTTCCATCTTTTTTTTTTAAGTCTGTATTCTACTGAGCTCTAGAAAACAAAGCGCCTGAGTAAATGGACTAAGATCCAAGCATAGGTGTCTCTAGCCCTCCCTCTGGCCCCAGAGGACATCCTGTGGGTTCCTCTACCTCTGAAAAGATCAGCCGCACATTCGCTGGTGGGTGTCCAATGGTCTGCACAGCAAAGAGGGATGTTTGTCTCAGGAGCTTGCAGGGCCTTCGTACAGATTGTAGGAAGACTCTCTGGCTGGACAGACCAATTAGAAAAAGATCTCCCTGCACTTGGCTGTGGTAGCCTCAGGGACAGTAAAAGGCTTGGAGGCTTGGTACGACTTCCTGCTTTTCTGCAGGGGACAACCTCCCTGGTGGAAACTCCTGCCCAGTTTCTCTGAATCTAGGCTGACACTGCCCAGAGAGCAAACTGTATAAAACCACTCTAAGAGGTCAAAACCAACCAACCCACCCTCCTCCCCCCCACCCTGTTCCCATCAAGCCAGTTCTGACACATGTCACAGAAGAATTGCTCAGTAAGGTATTCTTGACTGCAGTCATCACAGGGGCAGATCGCTGGGCCTGTTTCCACTGCACCTGTGGGTAGGTTCTCCCTGCCAACCTTTAGGTTGGCAAACTGTTTGTGCCACCTAGGCACCTTCTTGAGGCCCAGAGGCAGCCAATTCTCCCCTTGCCAGGCTAGTGGAAAGGGCCCCCATCAAGTGTTGCCCTCTAAGCCCACAGGTGCTCTACAGGCCGTTCAGAAGGTCGTAGTTGGGTGAATGTCAAAGTGAAGTTGAGTCAGAACTTTATGTATTAAGACTCTTTTCAGAACCAGCCCAATTTCTCAGTACTTAGCCGTAAGGGCTTCTGAGACAGCCCAACAAGCAAAGTAAGCACCGGCGTTCTTGCGCTTACTGACAAATCCGTAGTGCACCATTTCACACTTGTTTACCACATTGGAGACTCCGCTTCTAGGTCCGGCTGGAGTCTCTCTCTACCTTCCTAGAGACTCAAAGCCTCTTTTCAAATGGACAGTCTCTAACAGGATCAGAGGGCTTGCCTGTGCTTACGTTGCCTACTGGCTGCTCCGTCCGAGAGACTAATACCACGAAGAGCTAAGGGGAAGAGGCTCTGTAAAGTGTGGAGAGACCAACTGAAAGTATGAGACAGCACAACCCGGGACCCACATGGGACGCCTGTGTCTCGTAGCAAAATAACCGAGTTCGATTGGAGGCATTTGGGCAGCAGGCAGGTTGGTGAGCTGTGTGTTCAGCCGGAAAGCCGTGGGTGTTCATTCTTTCTCACTCTCGGTTGGCCAAGGTCACCGAGACGGGTTCCTGTGGAAGCGGGGAAGGGGCAACGCGCAGTTCCAGAGAAGGAAGTTTGTCCTGCTGGCAAGAGAAGGCCTCCTGAAGTACTACACTAAAGAGGAGGTAAGCGCCCCGTTCCCTGCCCTCCGGGTGTGCTGGTTGTCCGTCTGCACAAGGGCGTCTCATAAGCCTTTCAGGGTCAAGAGGTTCCCGGCCAAGAAACAAAAGCCGAATTGGCCCAGACGCCAATGGATTCGAATGAAAACTGGTCATCAGATCAGGTGCCACCCCGAGAGGAGATGCTGGAGAGGAACCAAGCTGGGTTTGTGAGGAGCCCCCCAACTGATGGCGTTTACCCAGGTTCACTAGTGGCCTGTCGTGCTGAGTTTAAGCCTTTGCCACCATCTGATCAATTGAATGTGTCTTGGCAAATATCTGGTTTCTTCCTTGGTTTTTATGCTTCCACAGCGAGAGGTTATCAATAAATTATGTAAGGCCATTGGTTTGAGAAGGAAAGAAAAAGAAAAGAAGATGAAGAGGTAAGAGGCCAGTCCAGGGAAGAGTCCCTTCCTTCCACACTAGGCTCTCTCTCTACTGTGGCCTGCATTTTAATCAGTGGCACCTTGTGGATGAAGACCCCTGGTGGCACAGTGGTTAAACGCTCAACTGCTAACCCTAAGGCCAGTGGTTCAAACCCACTAGCCTTTACATGGGAGATAAAATAAGGCAGTCTCGGCTTCCGTAAAGATTTACAGCCTTAGAAAACCTATGGGACAGTTCGATTCATCGAGGAATCAGCTGGACGGCAGTGAGGGTGATATATCCTGGAGGGGAATATTGGGTCCAATGATGCCCTGGTGGCATGGTGGTGTTGGGCTCTAAACTCAAGCTTGACCATTCACACCCCCCAGCTGCGCTGAGACTTATGAGCTCAGAAGCCCTAGACAGGGTTGCCGTGAGTCACAGCCGACTCAATGGCAGTGAGTGTGGTTTTTGGCGCTTCTGGTATGCAAGAGTGCTCAGGGGAAACCATAGAGTGGTGTGACATCCGCGCAGTGTCTGCAATGTGAGGAGCGAGTTGTGTCGGGAGGGTGGAAGCAGCAGAGGGAACTGTATGTTCCGAAGCCCTGAGCGTGGCCACAGGTAGCAAGTGTGCTGTGTCAATTAGAAAAAGACAGTCCCTCTGAGTGGGGCAGCCCCCCTGGGCCCAGCCTGAGCAAGAAGGCTGGAATGCAATTCTGACTCAGCCATGGGTGTTTTCAGCAATGCACAAACTGAACCGCTCAGGCAGAAGCTCTGGGCCTGGCTCTGAGGTGAGAGAGTGTTGGGGGCCCTAAGGGATAACAAGGAGGCCAAAGTGAGTGTGGATAGGTGAGAGGGCTATGAGGTCCGATAGTGGAGGGTCTTAGTGACCAGTGTAAGATTCTGGATATTTAAAAAAAATACCTTTATTTACCATTTATACTCTGTATAAGCTGAGTTTTTCTGAATATGTTTATGCAGTTTTTGTGGTTAAAATTAGGTGCCCGCGGCTGATATTCAGGTCGGCTTATACTCGAGTATATACGTATTCATTTAATTCACATATCATACAATTCCCCACAAGCCAATGGTTTCTTATATATTCCCTGATCTGTAACCATCACCACATTCAATGTTAGAACATTTGTATCACTCCAAAAAGCACACCTACTCCCCCTAGCTAGAACCAACCCCCTCACCTTCCCTAGCCTTAAGCAACCACTAATCTCTCCGGCCTATTCTGAACACTTTATAGAAATGGAATCATAGATATGTTCTTCTTTTAATAGCTTCTTTCCCTTAGTGTATGTTTTCAAAGTTTATGTTGTAGTACGATGACTTCTTTTTTATTGCTAGTTTGTATTCTCCTGGCTAGATATACCACGGCAGATCTCCGCCGATGGACATTAGTCCCTTTTTCCATTTTGACTAGTGTGGATAATGGTACTGTGACTCTTCATGTCCAATTGTTTGGTTATAGGTTGGTTTTGGTTTTGTTCCTCCCTTGAGTGTTATCTGTGTGTGTCTATCTATCTTGGAGTGGAAAGACTGACTCATGTGCTATCACTACGTTTCTGAGGAATTGCCAAATTGCTTCCCACAGTGACTGTCCATTTTACATTCCCACCAGCAATGGACAAGGGTCCATTGATGTTGGTTAGTATGTATCCTTTTTTCACAGCCCAGTGAGTGTGCAGTGCTGTCCCAGGGTGGTTTCGATCTGCCTTTCCCTGATGGCTGGTGATGCTGAGCACTGTTCACGTGCTTATTGGCCACTTGTATCTTTCCTTCAGAGACTGTATATTCAGATCCTCTGTCCATTTTTATCTTAAAAAATCATTTTATTGGGGGCTTGACCAGCTCTTACCACAATCCATGCATCTATCCATCGTGTCAAGCATCTTTGTACATTCGTTGCCCTCATCCTCTGTCCATTTTTTATTGAGCAAATGCATCTTTTATTTTTGAGTTGAACAGTGCTTTCTTTTTTATTTATTTATTAATCATTTTATTAGGGGCTCATACAACTCTTATCACAATCCACATACACATCAATCGTGTAAAGCGCATATGTACATTCACTGCCCTCATCATTCTCAAACATTTCCTCTCCACTTAAACCCCTGGCATTAGGTCCTCATTTTTCCCTTCCTTCCCTGCTGCCCCCTCCCTCCTGAGCCCTTGATAATTTATAAATTGTTATTTTGTCATATCTTGCCCTGTCCGAC